GCTAGACTTGTATGCAATCTTACCAACAGCATGGGTGTGATAGTTTGAAAGCATGAATGTTTCTCTTTATTGTCTACCTGCCCCATTGCCATGTTTTTCACTGTGTCTCCTTTGTGTATGCCACTGAAATGAAAAGTGTGTAGGGGGGTAATCAATGTTGATATTCATCAACTTCCCACCTCTCTTTGTAGAATACACTCATACTTGTTGGTTTAAGCTGTTTTCTTTTCAGGCAAGAATGTGCGAACAGAGGTAGCTGCCTTATACTGAGTCACACCAGAGGTACCATGCCTGCATGCTCCAGTTGCTGAGGAGCTGGGCAGGAAGAGGCCTTGCACCCATCCTGCTTGAAAGATCCTGTGTTTGCCATTGTGTGTACAGTGTGCTGGACTAGTGTGATCCAGCAAGGCTTTTCTTATGTTCTTATCTACTCCAGTGTAGTCTGTGCTAACTGACTGCAGCTCTCTGGGTTTTCAGGCAGGATTATTTCCTGGCTATGCATGAAAGGTTTGAAACTGGGATGTTTGAGCCACTGAGTTATGACCTGATAAAGAATTCTGCATCACAGAAGACTCCTAAAGCTCAGATAGGTGTGTTTTATGTGGTGTGATACTCTAGCTAAGGGTCATTATATGCTTGTTCTCCCTTTATTTTGGATGCTAGCTGTTACCAACAGAAGTTCATTAATCTTCATTTCTTCATTTTGATTAGTTTCTTAAAATGTATTTGTGAAATGCTCAGCTGACAATAGCAAACAATTACAATAAAATCTTTAAGCCAATAAGTTTTAGAGAGCTGTTTTTAAATTGCTGTTCAGCCATGCAAGTTACTGGACTAGTCCATCATCATCTCAGCTTAACCTATATCACAGGGCTGTTGTGAACATTAAATTCAGAGGGCCATATGGGCTGCCCCAAGGAAGGCTGGGATAAGGAGCAAAATCACTAAAAGCAATCCTAAATAAATCAATGTAATAAAACCAGCTTATCTGCCTGGCATGCAAATGCCAACTGGAATGAATGCATGCTAGCTCTCCTCCAGAATACCAGGAGAAAGATATAAAGTACTGTGCAGATCATAAACTGTAATACGACTCCACACCGAAAGATGCAGTGATAAGTCAAATTTAGTTCCATAGCAGAAGACTCAGAGAAAAACTGAAACAGCCTGCATATGTATATATGGATACATGCACACATGCATGGAGTACACATATAGATTAAACACACATACATATTTATGTGGAATTATCATGGTGTATTTGGCATTTAAATTTATTAGCTGGGAGAAATTACGTTGCACCATCTGTTACCCTGCACGAACTTCCTGTAACTAAGAATAACAAAAGCCCTGGAGAATAAGCATCAGGTAAAGTAGATTCTCTTAAAATAATTGAACATAATTGTGCATTTAACAGTTTAATGTAATATTATTCAACAGATGTGCAAATAACAGTAGAGTTATTCTCCACAAGCCATATGTTGGAGGTAAAACGGCATTACAAGAGACCAATGGAATATTAGACAAGGCTGACTCAGAAACATGGATTGGTGGTTATTAAAACATTGTAAAGTGTTGCTGTAAAGTGTGACCTTAATTGAGGTTTCAAAAGTAATTTTTTGTGGTTAGAAAAGAGTATATATTATTCTTCTGCACCCTCTCTTGGCCAGTAATAGTAATGCAACAGAAGCCACCTGTACGTAGACTGCAACACAGCAAATGTTTTCAAAGTGTTCTCTCTATAACCACTCCTTCATTAGCAAGAATGGCCATAACATGCTGTTAGGAAAGCAGCCCAACAGAAAAGGACTGGTTCCCAAATGAGCAAGACAGCAGAGGTCATAGAAGTCTTATCCTCTTCTGAAAGCAGTCGCTTTGGACAGGGTCTTGGGTTGCACTCGCAAGTGTAACTTTTCCACTGTGCTAACAGCCATTGCTGCTAGGGCAACGTCATATGCCAGTTGGACTATTTTGGACTATCCTCCAAAAACTTCTGGAAACGTCAGTGGGAGTAGCCAGGGGTACTTGATAGCAAAGAGAAAGTCAGCACATTCCCAGAGGTACATGGCTGGATTACGATTTCTGTACTGTTAGTCCTGGTACTAAAGGCAGCTCACATTACTGAGAACTAATGAGTAGGCGCTGTCACAGCTAAAGAGTTTTTCCAGCAGATTGTTGTTGATGCTGGCGCTTCAAAATGTACATGGGTGATGATATAGAAATTTGTTGTAAAAATCATTGTCTTAGTCTGCATGTGTGGTTTCATTCAGGGCTGTGACCAGAGTTGTTGAACCTCATCCCTGGAGCCAAATCTGGCCTGCCTGCTCTCCCAGTCTGTACTCCAGGCCTCATCAGACAGATGGCCAGGCCACTTCCCCATGGCCTACCCCTTCCACCAAAGGCAGCCTTTCCCAACCTGAAGGCCTTCAGAGACATTTGTACCACTACTCCCATTATTCCCATCCAGCAGGGCTATTGACTGGGAATTCTGGGGGTTGCGGTCTAAACATGTCTGGCAGGCACAAGGTTGCTAAGGCTGCATTTATATCTTGACTTTCTTCCTTTTGCAAGGCTCCAAAGCCGGCTTTAAAGGTCCTCCTCCACTCCATTTTCCCTCACAACAGCAGCCCTGTGAGGGAGGTTGGGCTGAGAGTCCATGACTGGCCCTGAGTCACCCAGTGTGCTTCATGGATGAGCAGGGACTAGAACCCAGATCACCTGAACCCAGTCCCAGTGCTCTAACCACTATACCACACTGACTTTCCAATGGATTGGTTTCTGGCTTTTGCCAGGTTTTTCCCTACTCCAAAAAGCTGAAAGGATGTATTCTCCTAAGACTTTGTTACTGGTAGGGAGAAGTTCAAACTGAAATATGCCAGTATTTTTGTATTTAGGCCTTACCCCCTCAGTGCCTTCTGTCCCATGTACCCAGGAGCTGCTTCAGAAAGATATTCAGCCAAAAGAGGTCCACCAGCCCAATCAAGTGTGACTCTATCAAACAATTATTAAACAAAGGTAACCAAGTCCTCCGGATCAGTACTAAGCCAAAATTTTCTCCCACATTTTTTCAGCCATTCTCCTTTACTCATTATTAGATTTTTATCCCACCCCATTAGTCATAAGGCTCCCTGGACGGGTTACAAATAAAAATATACACTCAGATAACATAGCGACATGCAACAAAATACTAATATAACCCTATTAAAAACTAACAGCCTAACTACTAAAACCACAGAAGGGTTAAACTTCACAGAAACCGCTTTAACATAAAAGGCACCGCTACCATCTACAGTCACATATAAAATTTAAAACCATTAAAATCACTCTAAGAATTAAAATACAAGGACAGAAAAGAAATTGCTTTCAAAAACAATGTTTTAAAAATCAGGAGTTTGGTTTAAGGTTTTTAGGCTTACCTTCCGCATGAGGAAGTTGAGGAATGTGTGCAGTGCCCTGGCTTTCATTGCACAGCCATCTCTCCAGCAGCCTTCTCAGCTTCCCGGACTTCCCTCGGAGACATGGAGAAGACATCCTGGAAGCACCAGGAAGCATCGAAAGCCTAGGAGGCTGCACAGCAACGGAGACAGGTGTACTAGCACACAGAGCACCCTCAGCTGCTTCACCGTGATCAGGGTGAACACACCACCAAAAGACATTATTAAAGGCCCTGAGTATGAGGTGGGAAAATGGATGCCTCCTCAGTGGGAAAATAAAGCTTTCAACATTCCGGAGGACCGATTTTGGCACAGCATTAACTTCACCTGCATCCCTCATACCTGCTACTGGGCTTTCAGAAAAGTAGTAATTTTATAAATATCTGCCTAAGAGGCAAGGTCTACCTATAACCAACCTTAAGAAATTAACTTTTGGAAGATCCTGGGGAATGTGATGAACCCTGAAAAATGAGAATAATTGCTAAGCCAAAATTTGTCAAAGACATTTTTCTCCAAAGGAGAAAAGGTGGATTTTTTCTTTTCTTCCTCCTTATGTCACTTTTGACAATCAAAATTCTTCTTCTTTTTAAGTGTGTGTGTGTGAGGGAGGGACATTTCCTTTTCACCCACAATATCCCAGAAAGATTATTGGTATGGGTCAATGTGGAAGATGCAAAATGAGGACCAGACTGCCGGGAGAGTTGCTGTTATTGTCAGTAACATTGGCAACACACACACACACACACACCCCAGCAACCCTTAGAGGAGAAAGGCAAGAAGCTGTTCTACAACCTCAGCCAAAGGTGAGCCCTACCTATGAGAAACTGTTGGAAAAAAAAATCCCCCTTCTCAAAACATTGGGTGACATTGTTTCTCCACCCCCCCCCCCAAATAGGGTGGAGAGTTTTGAGAGGTCATTTCCACACAACTCTACTCTGGACTGTGATTTTGTTGCAATTATACAAAGAATAATGGAATGATCCTAATGCCCCTCTGACCTCAGAGCGGCAATCAGAGCCCCCATCCCCTTTCAGTCTGTGAAGGTGACTGATCCTCTCCAGGGTCAGAAAAGCAACCTTGGAGAGGGGTCAACGGGTTGTTCTGGGGGTGATGGGAGGAGACTGAGCCAGCCAGGATTTATTTATTTATTTGTTTGTTTAGAGCATTTGTATGCCATCCCATCGCACAGCCTCGGGCCAGCTTACATAAATAAAATAAAACATAATACAGATAAAACCCAGATCCAACCTGGCTGCATATTAAAACCTATAAACTGATATTAAAAGTTATTAAAATATCATTGAAATAAAAAGGGCTTAGCCTGGCGCTGAAAAATGAACGACGGCGCCAGGCGGACCTCTCTGGGGAGCGCATTCCATAGGCGGGGCACCTATGCAATGTGTCCTGAAGTCATTGCAGTCTCCTTGCCTCTTCCTTTGAAATACTCCAGCTAGATGGTTGAAAGTTATAGTCTAGAGATAATATCAAGCAGGGAAGCAAAGATCAAAGAGCATAAAGCTCCAAGTTAGGAGGCACCCCCATTACCCTTCCTATCAATACAATAAAACTTTATTAATCTTTGCATAGATAATTTTTATAGGGGTGTTTCATGAGGAGTGTTACACAATGGGCAAATTAAATGGAATATTCTTACAGATTTTTCAGATCTACAGGCAGTTCTTCAATGACATTATCCTTCTGTTGTCTAGGCAACTGGCAGAGTGCCTTGGGACCAGGCAAGGTGAAAATCACAATACAGATAACAATAATATTAATTCTGATCTCTTATGGTATTATTTATCACAAAATTGCAATTCCTGTAAATAAAAAGGTTGCATGAAAACAGAGGTGCTGTGTAACACATAATAACACTTCTAACAGGTGTCATTCAGTTGCAGGCGAGTTTAAAGCAACAGAGGCAGTCTGTGGATGCACTGTATGTTCTTGCAAACAGCAGTGCCATTTGAAGCCATAAACCACTCCTGGGGTATAATAATTCTGACAGATAATGGAAACAAATAGTCATTTCTCATTCCATCAGAATACTTTTATGCATTGTCCTGATGGCTTAGGTGGCGTGATCTGTCCGTGCCTGTGTGGAAACCTTTGTTGACGATGTGCCCTCTTTAAAAGGTAGTGAATTTCATTTATGTAAGCTTCCTGAGAAATTCTGCATAGGGTGATGCTTGGTGACACAGCAATTACACCAGGACCTTCAGAAAGTCAGGACTGTCTGCTCTTGTTACATCGTACACTAGGTGAGGCAGATGCTGATGGTTGCGAAAAGCTACTGGAGCTGGCTCTCCTGATTCCAAGTGCCTGGAGGTGACTCAAGACAGCCTTAAAATGCCAGGTTTAATAGTAGAATGCTACCTTGGCTCAAAATATATGTGTTTGTTCTGCTGAAACTCCCCACTACAGAAGGAAGAGATATTATTTAAACCACCACCTTTTGCACCATCTGTTGAATGTTCTTGCAAGCCAAAGACCACCTTCGATTCTGGACAAGTACTTCACAGACACAGTGCAAAGTAAAAGACAAAAAGAGGGCTCCCAAAATATCAACATATTTTAAACTCAAAATCTATTTTATCTACATTTATCCTGTATCAATTTTCTGATTTAAAACACACACACATTGAAGAGCTTTGGGAAACTCAGAACTAGAGCTGAACCTAAATAGAACTATGGTTGCTGAAATGTGAAAGTTTCAGAATGGCTGGGGAAAGCCCCAGTTTTTTCTCATTGTTTTGCTACTGATATGTTGTGGTGTGAAAACATCCCAGACATCCAGGCTGATAGCCAGTAGGGATCTAACATGTAAGGAAGAAATCTGTTGACGTGGCAACCCTGCTTGCAGGTGCCTTTAAAACATTTTTTTTTAAATCCAGAGGTCTCCAGGAGTGAGGGCAAGAAGCATCATCTTCATTCTGATTTGACTTCATGACATCATCAGGTATCATTGATGGCGGCCACTGCCTTGTGTGAGAAGAGTGCCTCTCTTGTCCTCTAGTTTTTGAGGGGTACAGAATGGTACCTGCTGAACAAAAGAAATTAAGTTTATTTTAGAAAAGCTGTCAAGGAATTCACCATGGAAGCTGAGATGGATTCTGCAACTCATTACACATATTAATACATTTATATTCCACTCTACCTCACTTGGAGCCCATAAAATATTAACAAATATTGAAATAACACGACACATTGACACTATTAAAATCATATTTGAAATACAAATGCACAAGAAAATGCCATAAAAATCACTACAATACCACATGAAAGAGGGGGGGACAGCAGGAGAAGCCTAGTACAAAAATGAAACTTAATGAACTAGAAACTCTGTATTGCTTCAATTATCTGAGTATAAATCTTGTCCGTCCTTCAATCCTAAACAGACAACTTTCTTTTTCATTTGGAGTTCAACAATTTCCTTCCCATTGCCACCACCTTTTGCTGTGAAAAATAAAAAATGTATAGCTGATAGTCCCCGCTTCTTCGTACTTGTTAGGATTACAAAGCCATTACTGCTCCCTGTTATATCTGCAAAACTCTGCCTTTCCATCTTGTCTAAGAGGCTGTGTATTTGACTTCCTCTATGGGAGAAGTTGCCAGTGAGGCAAGAAAGAGATGTGCTTTGAAAAATATGTGTTTTTACTACAGAGTGACAAAATAAAGAAGCTTGAATATCTTCTAGCAGACCATCTTTATCAGGTGAGAGGCTGTGCCAAGCTCTCTAGATTTATTTAGTTCATTCTTTCAAGGCAAGTATGAGAAGGTTTGGGGAGGATTTGATCTAAATAAATGCCACTTCGAGTGAATAAATAATGAGATGAAGAACTATGAAAATAAAATGGAATTAACAGACAGTAGGTCTAAGGCTGCTGAAGTAAAGTCAGCCACAGCCAAAGATTTTGTTTAATCTTTTGGCTGTGCTGTTAAATTGTATCGTACGCACACTCAGACACACAAAAGCACATGCGTGCACCTTTCAGTTCCAAAGCTTGTGTGGCAAGTTTCCGTGAGTGGAAGGTGTGATGACGCACAAGTGACCATGAGATGAAACTCTCCAGACGGGACTGAGATCTGGGTCAACAGGTTGGCTCTGACTACTGGCCCCTGTGACCATTCACCAAGTACGCATGAGTCACACTTACCCCTGGCCAAAAAAGAGGGAATGTGTCAACAACAAAAACTTCATAATATTTGCATATGCTAATGTGGCAAGATTCACTGGAGAAGGCATTCATGCTAAGGAAAGGGAAGAAGGAAAGGTAGAAATGGGAAAGGAAAACTGAGTAAGAGATGGGTTGACTTCATAAACAGGACACTCAAACTGGAGCAGTGGCCACAACTGAGGAGCAGGTACTCCAGATCCAAAAGGATCTGGACAGACTATGGAAGTGGGCAGGAGACAACAGGATGGCGTTCAATGTGGATAAGTGCAAGGTCTTGCACCTGGGGCATAGGAATAGGTGTCATAAGTACAGGTTAGGGGACAAGTGGCTGGAGAGCAGCACTTGTGAAAGGGACCTCAGGGTGCTGGTTGACTGCAGGCTAAACATGAGTCAGCAGTGTGATGCGGTGGTCAAGAGGGCGAACGCCACCCTTGGTTGCATAGCCAGAAGTGTGGCTTCTAGATCAAGAGAGGTAGTACTACCACTCTACATGACTCTGGTGCGCCCGCAATTGGAGTATTGTGCTCAGTTTTGGGCCCTTCATTACAGAAAGGATATAGCCAGGTTGGAGTCAGTGCAGCGTAGGGCCACAAGGTTGGTGGCCGGTTTGCAGGGGATGGGGTATGAGGCGAGACTGAGGAACTGGGTCTCTTCAGCCTGGAGAAGAGGAGACTCAGAGGGGATATGTTGGCGACATACAGGTATGTGAGGGGATGTCACATGGAGATGGGTAGAGACCTGTTCTCCCCTGCAGAGGAAGGCAGGATGTGCTCCAACGGAGCAAAGCTCAAGAAGCCAAGGTTCCATTTGGATGCCAGGAAGCACTTCCTGACAGTCAGGGCCCCGAGGATGTGGAATGGGCTTCCACGAGAGGTCGTTGAGGCCCCATCGGTGCGGGTGTTCAAGGATAGGCTGGACGTCCACATGGTGGGCATGTCGTGAGCAGAGCCGGCTGGTGCCGGAGGTCAGACTAGATGGCCCGGGAGACCCCTTCTGACTCGCTTTGTTTCTATGTTTCTATAATGGAAGCCACAGCCTTGAATTTAGGACAGCTAAGCAGGGATATCACGGATAGGACATCGTGGAGGTCTTTCATTCATATGGTCAGCATAAGTGGAATAACAAACATCAAATGAGGTGTCTCCTGCCAATATTCTCTATCCTAAATTCATAATCCAAATCCTCCACCAAAGCAGCATTTTGCATCCTATATTGAAATGAAGTGCATTTGAAACATTGCCCATATTGTGTATCCTTTTCCTTCTGTTGGTTGTTGGGAGCAGCAAAGAGCTAATTACTGTGGTGTAGTGAAAAGGAAATATATGGGGGCACCACTCCAGAAGGTTTTTCAGAGCAGGAGTTATGATAGCATCTTGTTGCATGCCAGGATAATTGAGGGACTGACTGGCAGGTGGGTGAAGCTATAATGTGCTATTCAGTTTGGACCACTGTTTGTGGCAGACGAAAAAATTAATAGAGCAGATTCCTTCTTTCCTTTTGTTTGTTTGAAATAAACACAGTTCTATCCACACAGCTACCTGTATTTTTCTCCTCACTCTGGGGGTGTGGCTATGATGAGCTCTTGACTTCAAAATTTACTGCTATACTTTTGGAGAAATAGAGCACTGAATTCTCACTCTTCCACTGCAGTCTTACACACTTGCTTGAACTCCATGGAACTTTTGAGTAGACAAGAACAGGATTGTAACTGTTAGCCAATAGAAGTTTCAGCCATCGTGGCTTCTGAGATTTCACTAACCATTACTCATACAAACTCAAATTTATCTTTCTTTTGCAGCAATAAAGCCTAGAAACTTGCCATCCTAAAGTGAATATTGAGATTCTTAAGAATCTACATTCTGCACCTGATCTCAAGTTCTCCACTCTTGAAGAAATTTAAAATATGTACAGTCTTGCTGTTGGTCCTATCACACCACTCTGATAGGAGGTGCTTCTGAAGAGGTGGAGGTGTGGATCCATGTGTATGGTTCTGAGTTTTGGGTATTTCAGATTAATTTGATGCTAAAATATTGCAAATGTGTCATCAAGTGGCCCACAAAAAGATTCCTTTAAAGTACATGTGAATACAATTACAAAAGGAGAGTGCTGGAGCAGAAGTACGATTCCTACAATGATAAAAGACATATATATATATATATATATATATATATATATATATATATATATTCCTGAGAACAATTGTATTTTGGAAAATACACTGTTGTCAAAAGATCAGTCCTCTCTCAAATTCAATTATGCAGGAACCTCCTGTGCTTTATATCCCTGCAGTCCCACTTAATCATTAATTACAGTGTCTTTTTATTGTCTCCCATGTTGATTGCATGTCTGATATCACAGATTGCTTAGCAAGTTGACTTAACACCTTTGCTAATTGCTCTGTGGTGCTAAGCTTTAATTTTCTCTCCCCCCCCCCTTCTTTCCAAAGAAGAGCTTTTGAGCTGTTTGCTTAAGCAAGTCCTTTGTATGTATTGTTCTGTTGTCTGTGGCATCTGTGCCTATAATGCACAACAACTGTATAAGAAAGTTTGCAACTGTAGTTTCTTTGGGAGTTATTCACAGAAAGTCAAAGCCCTTGGTACCTTTGAATAGTTTATCCCCTCCCAAACAACAGCTCTCAACTGCTCAGTTCAGGAAGAAAGAACAACTGGGAGTGCAACATAATATGTCTGTGTCCTTCATATTCTGCTTATAGGGACACATGTAACACACCCATTGCTGAATCCACAATGGTTAGTTTTCTGCTCCCACCACTCATGCACACTGCTACTGCATATCCTCCACTGCAGGGATCAGCAAGCTGGCACCATCCAGATGTTTTGTACTACAAGGCCCTAATCCCTGTTCATGGGCCATGCTGGCTGCGGGGGAAGGTATCCCAAAACATCTTAAGGCTCCATGTTGCGCACTCCTGTGGCCTACTGACTTGAAAGCAGGGCCCAAGGCCAAAAGATACATCGTAGCAGAACACCTTACGTTCCCATTTCCCTGCCTTTATTCTGATGGAATCTGCACATGTGTGCAAAGCAGCTTCAGAAACTGCTAAGCAAGGGTTTTGAACCTCAGGCTGTAGGCCAAATGCAGCCCATCTGGAGACCAATCCACTCCTCCAGGGCCTAAGAGGGACACTGCAACACCTGGCAATTTAATACCAGAAAAGGCTATTCCTAATCTGTTTGATGCAAGGCTGTGGACCCTCAGGCCTGTGGGGCAAATCTGGCCCAGCTGGGTTCCTATTTCAGTCCCCTGGGTCCTCCAGATGGCAATGCCTCCTTCCCTCTTCCCCCTGGCCCCATCCCCTCCTTTGTACCAGCAATGGATCATTTGGTGGTTTTCTGTCTTTTAGAAAATTTTCTCCAATTCAGAAAGATTGAAATGCTTCTCCTAAGGCTAGGTAACTAAAGATAAAAGGTCTAAGCTGAAAACTAGCCTTTTTGTTTAGTAACCACCCATCATCGGAATGCAGCTCACAAGAGCTTCTTTAAAACTGGATTCTGCCTTTGGACTCAAAGAGGTTTTGAACCCTTATGCCAGTCTGAGATTTTTAGGCAGAGAACATGATGTTCACCACTGAAGAACAGAAGTAATCAAAACAACTGTACAAAGTCACATACATATATTCCTGATTGATCACACATTGAGTGGCATTCCAATCATACTGCTGGCATACAATCATTTGTATACACCAAAAGGCCTATGCAAAAGCCCCATAGCATAGCAACAGCAAAAGTCTATCCAAACAGTTTAGTTGGAATAAGAAGGCAGGGACAAGGAGAGGCTTAAGTTACCATCCTACCACTGGGCAGTCTCTCTGTTCTTCCTGCCCGCCACTCAAGCCAAGGAAACC